GGCGCGGCTCCCGCAGAAGGCTCGGGCCATTGTTCTTTTGCGCGAACAGCGAGCGCGGCTAGTGCACGCGCGGATCTTGCGTGCCACGCTCGACGCTTGCGATGCCGAGCAGGAAAACAGAGTTGAGCCTCGTGGGAAAAAATCCGCCCCCGCCCCGCCTGCCCCCTCTGCTGTGTCTCTCTCCCTCTTCTCTTCGAGCCGCTGCCTTGATGGGGCAGGGCGAAGGTGCCCGCGCTGTGGGGGTTCAGCCGCGAGGGGGAGAGCCGCGGCATGGCGCCAGCCACCTCGTTCCGAACCCCTGAACTATAACGGGGTTATTTCCTACAAGCCCGCCCAGGCCCAGGCCCAGTTGCGCATGGCGGGGGGCTTTGTCGGCTCCTCTCGTCGTATGCAGTGGCATGACGAACTGCAATTGTGGTATTGTGGTAGGTCTGGGTGCTACGGGCATCAGCTGCTGGATGGGCTCGGCCGTCCTTGTCGCGCCCCACCCCCAACAGGCTTAAATATCTTTCCAGAATTTCTAGGGGGCTCTGGCCAAAGGTTCTGAGCAAGACGGATAAGGCCACCCGACGCAAAGGGGCGTCATGGGGGTTGGCCTTGTGCCGCATTGCATGTTGCATCTCTGTCGTCAGCATTGTCGATTGTCATTGCACCTCTGACTTTGTCATATATCCAGTTCCAGTTCCAGTTCCCCTCCTCCGCTGGGTGCTCGGTGGTGACGGTGGACGATGGGCCCGTGGCAGTCGCCAGGGGGGCAAGCCATAGGGGGCCAGGCCTTTGTGGGCCCCGGAAACGGCAGGGCCGTTTTTTTTTACCGTTTCCGAACAAATGTCTTTCGAATGTGGAAGCGGCAAACAAATCGGCGACCAGAAACGGCAACAAAACAACGGCTCCAGGACTGGTACTGGGACGGGAACGAGTCAACCAATGGCAACGGAACTCAATAAAAAACGGCATCGGAACCGACAACAAAAACAACACATCGGAACCGATCAACAAAACTGCCCTGTCGTCTGCAGGGCCCGCCAGGCCCGCTCCTTGATGGAGGGCGTCTTCGAGCGGCTTGTCAGACTGCCCAACTTGGTCGTGGTCCAGGTGCCCCTCGGGGGCGCTGCCAGGCCCAGTCTGTGCTTGGCGAGCGGCTTGCAGAGTTCTGGTTTGAGCGCGGAGGAGGTAAGACGCGTGGGCTCCAAGCTGAGAGCGGAAGACCCGCGCGCGATATCGGGGATGATGGGTGGGCGAATGCTCGCGGTCTGCTTTGGTCCAGCGCCTGGGGAGTCCGCTCCCACGCAGCAGGCCCATGAAAATGAGGATTGTTCCTTTACCATGCTCCTGCCTGTCGCCTACGGCCGTTCGAGGTATGGACGAATTGCTCGGCGATGGTTGGTTGTGCTCGGAGAAAGGGCTGGGCGACGTCGGCTGGGAGCGCTTAAGTTCACCTCTGGGGTCGAGTTTTCGCTGCCTTCGACGAAGGCGCCCTGGTCCAGGCTCACCTTCGAGAAAACACACAAACATAGATTAAGGCGCGTGGATTAGCGACGGGTCTCGTTTCTAAATAGAATCGGCGCACTCCCGCCACTAATTCGGGGGCGTCGGTGGCGCCGTTTCTTGGGGGTACCGTCCCCGATCCATGAATCTGGCGCCCGCGCGCCAGGTGTACGCATCCCTAATCCATGTTAGCGTGTGCCTGGCACGCTGGAGGCTGATTTGCAGGCAGTGCGTACCACGGTGTGGGAGCGCAAAACCACCGCCGTGGCGGACGCCCTTTGCGTGACGCGGGGCTGTCATGTGCATTGTGATGCTTCAAAGGCCTCCAGGTGTTTGGCAGGCCGACCTTATTTCGGTGGAGGAGCTCGGCTGACGGGCGGGGACGTAGCGTGTGCTGATGGCGGAGCGGGAGTGGCGGGAGGCGCAAGGGCTCCCAGAGCATGCCTCGCCGCCCCATCCGAGCCTGTCTGTGCGCGCTCGGTCGCCGCTGCAGCGCTACAGAAGCGGGCGCTCCCGGCTGGCTCCCGCGCTGGGACCGGGTGCGGGGCGCGGGCAGCCAGGGCTGGGGATGCCCACGGCGACCTGGCTGGCGCTGGCCGCCCATGCGCGTGCTCCGGTGCACGCCGGGGCGGGGCCTTGGCCTGGCAGGCGGTCTCTGGGAACTGCTCCTGCAGCTTTGGCCTGGCAGGCGGTCTCTGGGAGCTGCTGCGGCCGTGTATGGGGGCCTCGCGCGGGTTCGGGCCGGGGGCAGCCAGAACGCGCGCGCGCGCGTGGCTCTCGCGGTCTATTCCCCGGCTGCGGCCGCGCTGGTGGGAGGGTCGGACGCCTGCGGCATGGGATGTGCCCGCGCCGTAGATTTGGGCCCGCTGGTCAGCTTCTGAGGAGCCCTCTGGAAGGTGGAGGAGGAGGAGGAGGAGAAGGAGGAGGAGGAGGAGGAGGAGGAGGAGGAGGAGGAGGAGGAGGAGGAGGAGGAGGAGGAGGAGGAGGAGGAGGAGGAGGGAGGAGAAAGCAGTACCCCTCCAGCTGTCGCCGACGATCGCTCCTCGCGTTGATTCTTCCCGGGAGTCGGGCGGCGGAAGGGTGCCGTGCGCTGGGCCCGTGCTCGCTGCGGTCTCTCGCCGCCCAGCCCTGCGCCAGGCCAGGCCTGGGGCCGGAGGAGTCCGACCACGGGGCCCAGACCCCTCGTGTCGTGCAGGTGCTACTGCTTCTGACGACGACAACGACGGCGAAGACGACGACAATGATGACAATGATGATGGTGATGATGATGATGATGATGATGATGATGATGATGATGATGATGATGATGGTGATGGTGATGGTGATGGTGATGGTGATGGTGATGGTGATGATGATGATGATGATGATGATGATGATGATCATGATGATGATGCCGACGACGATGCTGTTGATGCTGCTGCTGCTGATGATGATGATGATGATTGTGATGATGTCGTCGACGACGATGTTAGCGATTAGGATGTCAATTACGATTAAGGTATTCAGATAATGACGATGACGATGACAATGACGATGACGATGATGCTGCTGCTGATGATGATTATGCTGATGATCATTTATTGATTGATGACAATGATGAGAACGATTCTGATGATGATGAGGCTGATGATGGCGATGATGACGATGATGGTGATGAGTGTGACGATTGTGATGATGATGGCGAGGAGGATGATGGGGCACTTGTTGATGCTGCTGATGCTGATACTGCTGCTGCTGATGATGATGCTGCTGATGATGATGATGAGGATGGTCATGATAACGACGACGATGACGATGCTGATGACAATTGCGAGGACGATACTGATCACGATGAGGCTGATGATGACGATGATGACGACGATGATGGTGATGAGTGTGATGGTTGTGATGATGATATCGATGACGATGATGGGGCACTTCTCGATGCTGCTGATGCTGATGCTGATACTGTTTCTGCTGCTTCTGGTGATGCTGATGATGATGATGATGATGCCGACGCCGATGGTGTTGATAAAGATGATGATGGTGGTGATGATGATGAGGATGCTGATGATGATGATGATGATGATGATGATGCTGATGATGATGATGATGCTGATCGTGATGATGTCGTCGACGACGATGTTGCTCATGAGGATGTCAATTACGATGACTATGATTATGATCATTACGATGACAATGACGATGACGATGTTGATGCTGCTGCTGATGATGATGCTGCTGATGATGATGATGATAATGCTGATGATGACGATGACGATGACGATGACGATGACGATGATGATGATGATGATGATGATGATGATGATGATGATGATGATGATGATGATGATGATGATGATGATGATGATGATGATGATGATGATGATGGGTCTATGGCCAGCTTCATGCCTCCCTTGTTTCGCGGCGCGCACGGAGGGTCTGGGCGAGGGGGATAGTGTTCTGAGAAGACCACGGTGCTTCTAAGAAGGCAGAGAGCTTCTCAAAAGCTCTCCTGGCTTCTAATAAGAAGCCTTCTCAGAAGCTCCCCAGGCCCTTCTAAGAGGGCCCCGTCCTTCTAAGAAGGCCCCCGCCTGCTTCGAAGGCCGGTCCCATCGCGCCACCGACTTGTCCTCGTCGCCAACTTCCGAGTGTTCCGACTCGATATGTTTGCACAACGTCGATCCCCGGGTGTTTGGACACTCTCTACGAGACCTGCGATTCTTCCAGAGCCATTTTTGGACGGTTTGGGGTCTGGTAAAGGCCCCCAGAGCTGTCAAACTATTCTGTCGCGGTTGTGTCTCGACGAGGATTGGTAAGGCCTCGGGTGGGGCACAGCTGGCCTCAACAAGCCCCCCGAGTAGTCCCAGCTGGCGTCAAGAGGCCCCCCGAGTGCACGCCGGTCGTTGAAAGTAGGTATTTTTGGATTCCCAGATCCCAATCTACTTCACGCGCCTTCCTACTTCAAGAATAGACACGCTTTTGCTGTGTTTTGTTATTCTCTGGGGGGGCCTGGACCCAATCAACTTAATCCGCCTTCCTACTTCACGTTTCTACCTACTTCTTCCGACCGACGAGTAGCCCCAGCTGGCGTCAAGAGGCCCCCCGAGTAGCCCAGGGCGGTAGCAAGAGCCCTGCGCCGCTTCCAGCGGCGCCCCTGGGGCGCCTGTTGAGGCCCGCGCGGCTTGCTTCGGGGGCCTGTCGAGGCCGACCGGGACTACCTGTGGGTGCTGCCTGCGCGCACCCCCAAGCCTTACCAGTGACTCGACGAGAGGAGGTTTCTCCTCCTCCTCCTCCGCACTCCTCCTCCACCTCCTCCATCTCCTCCTCTTCCTCCTCCTCCTTCTCCTCCTCCCCCAGACCCCTGCCGGGGCCCAGAAGCACAAGTTTGTCGAGCTGCGTCCAGCAGGGGCGACGCAGAGGGCCCCCGAAGGCCAAGCAGCCTCGAACCTCGATCCTCGAGGTTCGACCCTCGAGGAGGCGAGGAAGGTCACGTCGTGCTCGCCCCCTCCCTCCCGGCCCGGCTCGAGGAGAAGCTGCGCGACGACGGCCCCCGCGGCCGCTCGGACAGCCGAGGCGGCGGCGGGGGGCGCAGCCCCTCCCGCCGGCGCTCGCCGTCGCGCAGACGCCAGGATCGCTCTTGCTCCCCAGCCGACGCCGACGCCGACGCCGACGCCGACGCCGACGCCGACGCCGACGCCGACGACGACGACGACGACGACGACGACGACAACGCCGACGCCGACCCCAACGCCAACGCAGATGCCAAAGCCGACGACCGGAACGACGAACACGACGATGACGACGCCGACCCCGACGACGTCGACGATGAGGCGACGACGACGGCGGCGGCGACGCTCCTGAGTCTTGGTTCGGAAGAAGACATCCAGGCCTCCATACTGGGGTCCGAGCGGTTGGTGTCGGAGGATCGCGCCACATCCCCGACGTATCGGCGATGCTTCTCCATTTGGAGCCCGACTTCCTCCACGCCGACGGCGCCGATGCATGGGCGATGCATCGGCGATGCGGCGCGATCCTCTGACCCTAAGAAACGGTTAGACATAACTGTTCGGAGGTCCTCGCGGAGTTCTTGGGTCGGCGCTGGACCCCACTGGCGGCGCCTCTGGCGCCGCCCCTGGCGCGCTCCGCACGCCAGGGATGAGTTCCAGCGCCGATCCCAGACAGAAATCCGCCAGGACATCCGAGAAGTATGTTTATGTTGTTTGTTCTTCTGTTCTCTGTTTTCGAGTGAAGAAGGATAGTTTTTTGGTTTCGGGGTGGCGGGCATCCAGACGCATCTGGGGCCTCCTGAGGCCTCGGGCTCGTCGCAACCGCGGTCGTCGCCGCCATCGTCAGCGCCACCGCCACTTGCATCTTCACCGGCCACCGCCACCGTCGCCGTGGTTGCCGTTGCTGTCGCTAGCGCCAGCGCCATCGCCATCATGTCTGCTACCGCTCTGCTGTGCCAGCGAGCCCGCCGACGGTCCCGCGGCAGCTGCCTGCGGTCGCGCGGCCTCGCGGGTGCCCAGCGGATGCGTGGCGGCATTTCGGGGGCAGCCGCCTTTTGCGAGGTCCCTCCTCCCGCTATCATACCGCGTCGCCCGCTCCTCGCACCCCCCGCCCCCTGCCCCTCTTTCCCCCGCCCTCCTCCTGCTCCCCTTGCCACGTCCTCCTTCGTTCCGTTCCCCTCTGCCCTTCTCTCAATCTGGCAGCGAGCACTGCAATCATTCCGCATCCCTTTGGGCTCCCGTGATGTTTCCCCAGCGCGGATTCGCGCCGCCGCCGCATGCCGCCCAGCGCCCCCCCCGTGGGGCCGCAGTGGCGGTGGAGGTGGCGTCGGCTGCAGCGGCGCGGGGCCCCGCGCGCGCGCCTTGGTGGCGCGAGCCGCCCTCGGGAGGCGCCTCGATCCTCCCAGGGCCGCGCAAAGCCATCTGGGGCTGTGCCTGCGACGCCGACGGGAACTGGGCCTGCAGGCTGGCGCGCCGCGGATGCGGGCGCTCTGCGCCCACGGCGGTGCTGCGCCAGCGGGCGCTGGAGCAGGCGGCGGGGGCTGAGCCGGCCTCAGGGGGCAAGGCCAAGTCTGGGCCTGCAGGGGGCGGAGGCAGGGCCGGTGCGGAGGCGGCGGGCGCAGAGCTTGCAGTTGGTCGAAGCGGGGCCAAGGTGGCCGAACTGCTCGCCATGCTGGGCGCCAGGGACGTGGTCCTCGGCAGGAACGAGAGGGCGAAGCCGGAGGCGCCACGTGCTTCAGCGAAGGAGGTCGAACCGAAAACGCACTCGCATGTTTTGCAGGGCTGCATCTGGAAGGTCAAGCGCTTCAGCAAGCAGCTGGTAAGCCGCCAGGCCGCGCACGCCGAAACGGCGGAGTCGCAGCAGGCGGTGGCGCAAGCCAAGGAGGAGGTCGAGGCCGCGCGGCAGCGCCATGAACAGACCGAGGAGGCGCAGGTTTAGGCGAAGCAGGCGGACAGGGTCGGGCTCCCGCCTGGTGCCAGCGCCGCGCTTGGGCCCGAGCTCGCCCAGGCTCTCGACGCACTTGCAGCCATCGGTGGGCTCGCATCTGAGGAACCACACCCGAGGCAGTCGCAGTCACCCATGCTGCCCTTCAGCACAAGGTAGGCCGTCAGCAGACGGAGGTCAAGGCCAGCGTCATCGTCATCGACGGGAGCCAGGACGACCCCATGGGGACTGCTGCTGGTCCTTCTGCTGCTCCTGGCTCAGGCGTCGGAGGCGGCGAAGGCCCTGCCGAGGCAGTGACTCGCGAAGCCTTCTTCGACAAACGTGAGAAGCTCGAAGGGACCACCGTCGCAAGCTCGAGGATGCGTGTCAAAGGGCAGGAGTCGAGCTCCCAGCGGCCAAGCGAGCACGAGGTGAAGGTGATGGCAGCGGCGAAGCAGCGACTCCAGAGTCCCAGGGGGCCCGGCACCACCTGGAGACCGGACACGGCCAACACCACGTGCCGCAACAGCATGATGCGCTGGCTGCAGCAGGACGCCACCTCCGACGTGGTTATTCTGCAGGAGGTCGGCGTGGCCCCAGGGTCCAAGTAGAAAGCTGAGCAGGCGTGCCGAAAAAGGAGGGCTGGGAGGTGGCCTGCAGTCAATCGGTGCTGGCGGAGACAGGCGGCCTGTCCTGCGGGGCAGGCATCGGCGCGCGTTCCCGCATCGACGCAGGGGCGGCGCCGCCTGGGCCCGCTCTGCCAGGGGGCCGCATGATGACTCGATTTGTCATTTGCGGCGCCCCTGGCGGGTTCTTTGCCTTCTGCGTCTACCTCGTGGCGGCAGAGACGGGGCTGGACGCGGAGTCCAAGTTTCTGTTGGGCCAGCTCAGCTCGCGCGCCAAGCTACCGCGCGTCATCGGGGGCGACTGGAAGCGCAATCCCTAGGTGCTGGAGGCGCGGGGCTGGCCTCAGGAGGTTGACGGCATGATGGCATCCTCGGGGCGCTCAATATGAGTTCTGGCACGGAGATCGATTTCTTTGCGGTCTCGAGCGGCGTGGCGGGTCGAGTCCATTCCTGCGGCGGGCCGGGCGAGACGCCGGCGCCGCGCTGGCCCCCGAGACTTGAGCTGCGGGATCGTGGGGCTCCTGGGCGCAGGCTGGTTCAAACGGCATTGAGGACGTTCCCGTCGCTGCTGCCCATCGGCCCGCGGCTCAAGCCGCCTGGCTGGCCTCCGTTCATCGGCGAGGTGCGGGAGGTGCTGCGGAGGCTTGGCCGCGCGTGGAGGCGGAGCCTGGCCCTCGCAAGTGCGCCCGCGAAGTGCGAGGTCGCGCGGCTGAGTCAGGCCGTCGGTGCTCGGCGCGTTCGGATGGATCACAATGCCAGAAAATGGCCGGCAACCTTGTGGCGGAGCAGGGGGGCGCGGTCCCTCTGACGCGAGAGTCAACCGGCTTCGGTCCCACTCGTTTGGGGGATGGTTTGCGAAGGGGGGGGCAGCCGCGAGGGCGGGGCTGGGTGCCCGGCGCACCCAGAGGATGAGGTTGGCAGCGTGCGGCGGGAGGTCGACGATGCGCGCGTGGAGTTGGCGCGGCCGATGGAGTCCTACCTCTTGGGCGCCTACCGCGTCAGCCCTGAGAAGGAGGAGGAGGAGGGAGAGGAGGGGGAGGAGGAGGAAGAGGAGGAGTAGGTCGAGCACCGTGGGGTGGCGTTCGAGCCCGAGTGCGAGAAGCAGGATGCCTTCCCGCCCAGCAGCGGGCCCCGCGCCAAGGAGTACCCGACGCCAGCTCGCTGCAGGGGGATCGGCGCGGGCACTTGGGAGGCGTTGGCGGCCGGGCGTCGGCTGCGAGGCCCGTGCGGACGAGTGGATGCGCTGCGCCAGCTGGGCCACCGTCATGCCGGGGCAGGGCGGGTGGCGCCTGGGCGGCCACGGGGAGAAGGGGTCGCGGATCAGCAGGTGGAGACGCGGCGAAGGCGGCTCCACAGGATGGGCAGCTTCAGCTGTGTGGGCCTGGAAGGCTTCGAGAGCGAGGCGCGCGAGCTCGCGGCCAAGCTGGAGGCCGATCGCGGCGAGGCCCGACGTCAGCGCTGGCGCGCGTGGGCGCGGGCGGCGGCGCGCGACGGCAGACGTGCTGCCCGAGGCAACTGCAAGGCCCCGCCGCGGGCTGGGCCCCAGACCTCGAGGGGCCGTCGGGGCCTGCAGGCGTCGCGGGCGCGCTGGGCGCGCCGAGGCAGGGGTGCCGGGGCGTCTGGCAGTTCAGGGGGGGCCCGCCCGTGGCGCTGGAGGAGGCCATGTCGCCTGCGATGCTGGGGGATGTGGCCGAGGCCCCGTCGCCGCGTGCCATCTCCAGGGCAGCCCCCGCGTTCGAGGCAGGCGCGGCCGTTGGCGTCGACGCAGTCGGGCACCTCAGCTCCGACGGCCTGATCGCGTTGGGGCTGCTGCTCGAGGTGGTGGAGGCGGTTTGCCTGCTGCCGAGCCAGATCCACGCGGTTTATATATTTTCCGGGCGAAGGTGGGGGGGGGCTGGAGACCCATTGGACTGCCGCGCAGCCTGCGTCGGCTGCTGGGGAGAACTCTAGACGCTTCGCGTGGCCCCACCAGCCCGCCCAGAAACGATGCCTAGAGGAAGCGCCTCGATCATGGAAGTGGGCAGCGCGCAGAGGAAGGGTCCCCCAGTGGGGGCCTCCTGGAGCGTCTTGGGGGCCTCATTGGCGGTTCCGGACGCCTCTTAGAGCGTCTCGAGTGCCTCGGAGAGCTTCTTGGGTCCTCCTCGGGGTCACTTGGGGGCCTCTTGGACGCATCTGGGGCGCCTGTTGGGGCCTCCTGGGGCCTCCTGGGTGCCTCTTGGGGCCCTCTTGAAGCGCCCTTGGGAGCCTTGGGGGCGCTCTTGGAGCCTTCTTGGGCCCTCTTGGAGTCATCTTGAAGCTTCGGATGGCCGTCGGAAGCGAGAAGGCAAGAAAGCCCAAACTATTGATTTTCCTGAGATTTAAGCTTCTCCGGGGCCTCCTGGGGGAGCTCTTTGGCCACTTGGAGCCGTCGTGAAGCGGTCCTGGGGCCTCTTGGAGCATCGTGGGAGCCATCTTGAGGCGTCTCATCTTGGGATATCTTGAGCTTATTGCAGGTCATCTCGGGCTCTCCCAGGCGCTCTTAGAGTCATCTGAAGCAGTGCCCCCCCCACGAGGCCCACATGTGGCCGAAACTTGCGT